AGCAAGAAAGAGGTGTGCTACACTACATTTAAAAGGGGATAGCTTTTGAATACTATTGACGTCATTTCGTTAGTCACTGACCTCTGGCCACATTACAACTTATACAAAGTCATAATTGATCTCAAGTCTGATGCATGTGTGTGTTGTCGACCGAAAACTGGGGTATGTTAAATAGTATTTCTTTAATTGCATTGATATTCTTCCATGAGATTATGCCAAGAACATGATTAGTCTACTTTCTTAAGACTTTCACTCCCTTTCTAACTGTGCATGTGATTCTTCAATTAATCATCCTCTGATCACATGCCATTTGAGAGATAAGTCAATATAATCGGAGTGCATTTCTTTGCTGAGAGCATTCTAAGAGAGGTTTGAGAAATCAAAGCTATCCATGAAAGGTGATAAAGTGGAATGTTTGTTATATAACAATTCTTGCTACTAGAATGATCATTCCTACTACATAGGGAATTCCAAATACCAATGTGACAAGTGTTTATTTTTGTATAGAGTACGTACCAACAATCCTGTTAAGGGATGTGCTCTATGGGAGGAGGGTTTCGAGTTGAGACGGTATTCCTATTGGAGTGACCTCTTGGATTTGCCAACATTTGTTTCTCATTTTACTAGCATCAAAACAACTTCACCAAACAACTTCCAACAATCAAAGATTTTACACTTTCTTTCTCCCAAAATCACCTTCCCCTCGGTTTACTTCCTTCCTCGTGGAAACGACCTTGGAATACTACCAAGTAAAACACGATCCATGAAAGTCTCCTTGTGCTTGGGGAGCATTTTTGTTCACACACACACACATTTGACATTTCATTCATCCACCATTTCGTTGCCCTTTCTTTTGACATCATTCCAAGGAGAGTGACACTCCCCTTCATCTATATACTATACATGCTAAAAGGTGATATTTAGAGGTTAGAAAACAACAAGGAATTTTCTCAAGCAACACCCAAGTGCAGGTGGTCAAGCTGTAGTAATAATTCGGTTAAGTCCCGAGTCGAATTTACATGGAACTATGATTAGTGTTTTGAAGTAGGTAGTGACAGAGGCAAAGTAATTGGAAATCTTGAGAGTTTGAAGTTATGAGATTTCCTGAATAGAATATAAGATTCTTTCCAAGAGTTTTCTAGACAAAATATAAGATAAATTCAAATGTGAAACAGTCACTCTTTAGCTTGAGGATCAGAATATGTAAGTAATCATCTGGCTTGTTATACTTGTGCTTTATAACTCAATTAACTCCCGTGTCAACAACAAAGATGGACCGAGTGAATTAAACACATGATTCTGATGCCTTCCTATAAGTTTACTAGAATTAACTGTGCCGAGACTCAACCCGTCTACAAAACAAGTAAGTGTTTCTACAAGGAATCCAACCATGACATTAATGTTCCATTCTTTAGATAAAGCACAATAATGGTGAAGATTGAAATGTTGTCATGAAGATCTAGTTGGGGTACTTGCCTTGAACCAATGGGTTTTTCCATGCAAGAGTCATCTGTGACATAGAAAGAACCCATGGTTATATAAAGTACCTTAGCTTTGCTAGATGCATTTAATCATTTAATAAGTGAAATATAAAGCATTAAAGCATAAAGGAAATGCACAAATATAACTCTTGGATAATCAATACATGTTCATCACCTCTTACTAAAGAGTGAATGAGGAACTACTCACTCGTCATGGCTTGGGTAAAGCTAGAAAAATGAGTGATACTCATCCCTCCAAGTAGAGGAGTTACAAAATGAAAGCACAATAAACAAGGAGCCAATCTTCAATGAAGAATGAATGAATCACGTTCTACCCTTCATAGCTTTGGTAAAACTCAAGAAAAGTGGAAGAGTTTCACTCCTCTATGAAAGAAGGAAGCTCAAACAATGGAAGTGAAATAAAAGAACAATAAAAGTAAAAGAAAGCTAGTCACATTTGGAGGGTGGTTTCCTCAACCAATAAATGGAGGGTTGCTTCCTCAACCAAGAAATGGAGGGTTGTTTCCTCAACCAAAAGATGAATTATCTCCCTTGATACAAGCAAATATAAATCTAGCTATATGAGTGAGAGTCTAAGCCTCTATCTATCTCTTGACTAGTTCTTGGTGTAGTCTAAGCCTTACAAACCAAGTTCTAGTCTTTTGCAAGAACAACCTCTATTGAAGCTCCCACAATGGGAGTATTTATAGGCAAGGAGTAGGAGGGGGGTGGTGAAAGAATAGTGTATGCCGCCCAAGTCCAAGTGAAAGCCAACCATTCTATAGTCTGTCTGTGGAAAACGTTCGAACGTTGTATGTGTTTTTGCTTTATGGGCATTTGAACGTTGTATAGCGTTTGAACAATTCTTCTGTCTTTGCTTTATGGGTGTTCGAACGCCAAATGGGGTTTGACCCTCTCACTCAAGTGGCCTGTGGTCTTCTGTGGAAACCTATTTCCACACTCGATACAGAACTTGGCACTTTGTACTCATCACCTGGTCTTCAATCAATTCAAGTGGACATTCGAACGTGAGTTGGCGTTCAAATGTGGTACTCAGGTAATTCAAGGTCTTCCTTCTTGGCTTGCAACACGCCATGTCTCAGCAATTTGGTCTTTTCATAGTTCAAGTGGATGTTCGAACGTGAGTTGGCGTTCGAACGTTCTTTCTTTGTTCCAAACTTCTCCAATTTTGCCCCCAATATGCTGGTGTTACATCCAAGTGTGATTTTTGTTGTTCTTGAGCTCTTGTTCACTTTAGGACCTGAAATGTCATCACTCAAACCCCATCAAAGTATAATTAGTCTTAAAAGAACATAGTAATATGCTAATTTTAACTACTAATCAATAGACTTCTTATGTCTTCTCAAGAAAATGAGTGTGTCATCTACAAATAACATATGACTTAGCATAATAGTGCCTCTTCTAGTGTGAAAATTTTGATTAAACCCTGTTGGTATTCCTGCTTAAGCCCTCTACTTAATACATCCTCAGCAAGAAGGAATAAACTTGGAGACAGTGGATCACCTTGTCTCAAGACTCTAGAACTAGGAAAAAAACCATGCCTAACACCATCAATAGCCAGATAAACATTTTGATTTCTCAAGTAGTTTGAAATGATAAGCACAAAATTTTCAGAAAACCCAAAGCAATTAAGAGTTTGCTTCAAAACGTCTAACTCCATTCTATCAAAAGCCTTCATCATATCAAGTTTGATTATAGCATTTCCAGCTTCTACCTTTCTATCTAGCTCATTTACCATTAACTGAGCTGAAGCAATACTATCACTATTATTCCTTCTCTTAACAAAACCTTGCTGCTCCTTGGAGATAAGTTTAGGCAACAGAGATCTTAACCTTGATGACAATAGCTTGGTAAAAATTTTATATAAGAAGTTGCATAAACTAATTGGCCTAAAGTCAGAGAAAGTGGAGGGATTCTTTGGGTGGCAGTAACAGATCTAGGAATCTCCCCTCCCTGTAGAAAGAAGTTAACTGCCTTCAACAAGTCATGCTTAATAATGTTCCAGGAGTATTGAAAAAATTTACCTGAGAACCCATTTAGTCCTGGAGCACTATGTATAGACATAGAAAAGATGATCTCCTTCAATTCTTCTAAGGTAGTAGGAGCAGTAAGCATTATATTATCCTCATCAGTGACTAACATGGGAATAGAAGAGAAAAGTTTCTCCTCTATAACATGTGGTTCAGAGTTATATAGTGCAGAAAAAAATTCCTCAGCAACTTTAGCAATGCCAGATTCATCTTCCACCCAATTACCTTCCGAATCTTTAATTCTAGATAGTCTATTTCATATAGATTTCCCCTTGGCAATAGCATGATACAACCTTGCATTTCTTTCTCCCTCCAACATCCACTAAACATTAGCTTTTTGCCTCCAAAAGATCTCCTATATCTTCAATGCATGATCAAGATCCTTTCTAGCATTCTCCATACCTAGTACATTCGCCTTAGAATACAGATGCTCCACTTGAAGCTCAGCCTGCAATAATTGTTGGTCACACTTCTTAATATTTTCAAAGACATTGCCAAAAGATTCCTTATTCCACCTTCTTAGATGGAATTTAAGGTATTTTAACTGCAAAAACACATTCTCAATAGGGTTTTGAGAGTAAGATCCTGCCCATTTCAAGTCCACTAAAGGAAGAAAATCAGGATGTTCTGTCCACATGTTCATAAACTTAAAATAAGAGATTCTCCTGATTGCACCATTTTCAGAATTTTTAATAATCAAAAGGGCAATGGTCGGATTTCCCTCTAGCAGCATGCTCTACCACTATGTTCTGAAATATCTCACCCCATTCCATGTTGTGCAATGATTTATCTAGCCTCTGCCACATTCTAGTCAAATCTTGATGATTATTGCATAAGTAAAAGTAGATCCCATATAACCACTATCCAGAAGACCCGCTGAGTTAATGAAAGAGATAAATTCGATCATAATAGATAAACTTGGAACTGCTCCCCCTTCCTCTCCGAAGATGAAACATTGGTATTAAAGTCACCTGATACTAACCATGTCATGTTTAAGACAAATAAAGAGATTAAGTGATCCCAGAGAGGCCTCCTAAGTATGTGATCGCACTTAGCATAAACAAATGTAATTAAAAAAGGCAATGTACCAAGGAAAGTAACCTTAAATGTTAAAGCTTGTTCATGGACTGCATAGACCTCCACATGTAACCTATGATCCCACAATACCCAAATATACTTCTCAGCCAGCGGATTTGCTACAAATGAAGAGTAACCAAGATTACGACACAAACTTCTCATCTTTGAAGGCATGAGTTTTGGTTCCAACTTAGAAACTAAACATACGTCATTGGCATTAATTAATTTTTTGAGCCTTAATCTAGAAGATTCTTTATTTGCTCCCCGCTTATTCCATGAAATGATATTAATCATCTAAGCGCTTGGATAAGGAAAGTTGTCTAGACCTCAATCTAGTAATTATACCTGCTTGAGGAAGGATTTGAAATGCATTATGATGCTCGTATGCACCTCAAAAGGATTTCGGCTGAATAGAGGTTTGGCATTGTTCTTGCATGCCATTATCAAAGTCTGAATCATGTGAATCCAGTTCAATATGGTAAGTATTATAATTGTTCGAGTAAAAGCCTTTGTCTGGAGGCTCCTTTTGGCACATTAAACCCATCTCATCATCTACAGAGATTTCACCCATTTCTCTGCAAGTGTATTGATGATCCACTAGAAAAGACGAAAATAAACACCGCTCATTTAATCGACGGAGCCACTCCATGGGATCTTTGGTTACTGGTACTTCCAAGAAATTCCTAGGATTCTCTATGAAAGTTGCCCCCTTATCTGCAGCTGGTATCTCTATATTTGGAAACTCCTTAGCTTGGGGGAAATTAGTAATGAAAGGATCTTGTGGGTTGATGTTTTCCATATCTTTACACGAATGATCGCCTGTTTCTAAATTGATTGGGGTTGTTTTGGAAACATTCCCTACAAACTCCTCCGTATCATTTTGCAAAGATTTGTCGGACCTTTCCTCTGCAACGTTACCTTCACCATCTTTTTCCTTCTGTGGATTGTAAACTTTCCATACTCCCTGCTATTGCACTCTTCTACATGACTGGAACATATCCAATTGCTTTCTTGTTTGATTGCCAACTTCTGGGTTTTGAATACTTTCCTTCCCTAGAATATAAATATTCTTTCCTTTCCTTTGCTTGACAGTTTTTGTTTGTGTACCTACAAAATCATTCCCAGTATCCTATTGTGAAATCTTTCCTTTTGTAGCTTTTTTATGCATCAATGGCTTCTTCCTCCTGCATTCAGCTTCATCATGTTCCCTTTTTCTGCAACCTTTGCAGAATTTTTTATTCTTTTCATGTAAGATCTTTTGCCAATGAGCATCTTCATCTCCTATGTCTAGCCAGATCCTAGAATGGTTATTTGCTAGTAAATTGACCTCAACACACACTTTAGCAACTCCAGGTCTAGATAGAGAGAGTGTAGCTTAGTCGAACGCCAAAACTCATCCAATAGGCTTTACTAACAACTCCAAGAAAGCTTTTTAAAGAAATTCAATGGCAATCTGGGTAAAGATATCCACATAGGAACAATGGAAGGCTCTATGCCAGGTACAAAATGGGGAACAATTTGAAAAATCTGAACAGGTAGTCTTCAATCGTGGTAGCATCTTTCAACCAAATCTTTACATAGTTTTCATGCTTCTCAAACCTTATCAATATGCACCTGGGATCCATTGAACCTATCTCAAAATCTCCTTTCAAATCCCATTTAGAATGTATTACTTCTCTTATCACTCCCAAACTTGGACAACCATAGGTACACTTGCCTATTAACGCATACTAAATAGATAGACAGGATTGCTTAACTTCCTCATTGGTGAAGTAGAAGACCAGCTCCCCCTCATAGAACATGACTAGTTTTTCAAGCTTAATTGCAGGTTCTTCCTCTAAAAAAGATTTGGAAGGTTGTTTAAAAAGTGAAGCATAAGATGGAATGGGTTGTGGGTGATTTGCAAGCTATAAATCCGGAGGTATTAGGGATGAACTAGGTGAAGAACTCATGAATGAAAAAAATCCTAGAGAAAAGTTAGAGCTTCTATCTCTAAAAAAAAATTGTATATGTTAAACCAAGCTTGAATAACAGTTTAATCTCAATAGTTAAGCTTGACTAATCACAATCAAATCAAATCTGANATAAATCCGGAGGTATTAGGGATGAACTAGGTGAAGAACTCATGAATGAAAAAAATCCTAGAGAAAAGTTAGAGCTTCTATCTCTTAAAAAAATTGTATATGTTAAACCAAGCTTAAATAACAGTTTAATCTCAATAGTTAAGCTTGACTAATCACAATCAAATCAAATCTGATTATATTTCAGTTAGACACAATTGGGTCCATTATGTTTTCATCTAATACTTGTTCTTGTTCCAAGATGAATTTTGATATCAAAATTGTTAATGTTTTCTTGAGATGATCTCTTGCATATTTTAATTCCTTATTACTGTAGTATACTGAGAATAATTGTGAAACTTGAATTGGTAATAAAAATTGAGATTGTTGAGAAAGTTGTGGTTTCATCTCTTGTATGGTTTGTTGTGATGGACTTGAATTGCTTTCAAGAGCTACCGTAGAGTGTTAGAGGTTAGTCTATCTCAGTGGGAGTGAGATGGTTGTCTGACACTTATAGTGAATTATTGTTTGTGAGAGCAACCATTATTGTTCACATAGGTTCGAGGCTAAGAGATGGTATAACTTTCCTGAGAAGGATTCGTCAATGTCGTGGGAGACGGTATACGCCCTTCCTAAAGTGGTTTGTGATGTGCCCTGTGGGAATGATTGAGATTGTGTGGTTGTGGTGGGTGAATGAGATAGGATCACTGTGTAGATTCTNTCCTTCCTAAAGTGGTTTGTGATGTGCCCTGTGGGGATTGATTGAGATTGTGTGGTTGTGGTGGGTGAATGAGATAGGATCACTGTGTAGATTCTTAAAAAGCAGTCAACATACATAAGAATATGAGATGATGCTATTGAGTTATGAAGAGTTATGGCTTACTTCTAGTAGTGGAGGAAGATGGAGTAGCCTTCTGCTGAGATACGAACTGAGCATACTCCTCTCATGTGATAATAACCAACTCAGAGTCATATGCTATTTTCCAAAAAGAGACTGACCTTCTTTTTGTTGTTTTAAAACTTTGTTGGGATTTGAGAGGGATTTCCTACAAGCTTTTGCTCACCCCTACAACACATTACAGATTTTGATAGCTAGAAGGATGTCGAGTTAGATAAGCAGGTTGATCTCAAGGCTGGAGAGGGCCAGTATGAGGATCCTAAAGCGAAGACTTAGAGATGCTTTGTTTTAGTTCTGATTATTGTTTTTGGAGAAATTTTTGTGAAGCAATATTTCAGTTAGTTTTATTATTCCGTTACTAGATATCATTTGGTTTTGAATTGTGAATTGCAGAAGTTTCAATGTTTTAGTTGGTTTTAGCATTTATTCTTTGTCAAGTAAATGAATAGTTAATTATCTAATAGTTATTTTTAGATGGTCTCATGATTGGATGAGTTTTATATAGTAATGTTGTCCAGGATGAATTTTGGGGCGTTACATATCTTAGAAGATCACATAGGACAGTCTTCATGCATGTCTAACTATGTCCAATAATACATATCTAAGTTACATGCTTAGTATATGAATATATTTTATAGTTAAGGTATAGAAGTCCATGCACAAGACAACCATGATGTCTCAAATCTAAAGATCAGTTGAATAACTATAACTTTAGAATTTAACATTGACAGGTATATAAAACTTTATATGAAAAATTCTTCGTTAGTCAATGGTCATGTTCAATGTACTTGTTATTAACATGCACCCACACACTTGCTTCAGTGTCCCTACACTAGTGACTTGGACGAGTCACCTCATATCATAGTAAACATCGTATATGCTAGTTTATCCATATTACATAGTGTTCACATAGTAATCCTATGATTTGGAACATTTAAGAGTTAAGTAGTAAGAAATATATATCTCATCTTCTCAACTCCTTGATAAACTATCTTCTTAACTTATACTCTATGGACTATATCATGTATATTAAAATGAAATAAAATAGAAACATGATAAATAAACTTGCTATTTTATTTAATTAAGTAGTGAATGTTGCTAGTACAATCTCAAAGCATCATCTATATGATTGGTCTTAGAGTATATTACTAACAATGAAATCTGGCTTGATTGAGAAAACGAACAAAAAACCATTTTCATGTAAAACGAACAAACTACCGCCTTTGATTCTTAATGACGTAAGGGCTCTGGAAACAAGTAAGCGAATTTTGGAAGGAAAATAGTGTGTACCTTAAACTTAAGCTATACTCAGTAACAATACAACTTATGCACCGGCTTGAATGGTGATCCTTTCCTAACACCCAATGACCTTTAAGTTTGTGTGCGCACAACAACGCGAAACTCATGAACTGAGTCTACTAGACACTACTACTACATGACAGTTTTTTGATTGGTATACAATAATAGAAGAATAAATAGAGATTGAATCTGTAGATGCATTGTTGTGAAAAGCTCGCCTAGGCGAAAAACGAAACGAAGTGAGGGTCTCTCGCCTTAAGCAACCCAGGCAAAGCGAATATGACCGAAGCGATGGAAAAACGAGAAAAAACAAGAGCTTTTCGCTTAAGGGGCAGGGTGAGAAAAGCGATGTCTTTATTAAGTTTTTTAAAAGTGTTTTATTTTTTTATGGGTTAATTACACTAGAGGTCCCCAAAGTATGAAATTTGTCTTATTTTGGTCCCTAATGTTTCAATTGTATAATTTTGGTCCCTGAATTATTGAATATATTTTTATATTGTCCCTCCAACAGACAACGTCTAAATTGCTAATGAGTTTTTATCATAAACTTGTCATGTAATACCTAAATATGGACAAAAATTAATTTTGATATCTCTTAAACAAAGTTTGGGTAGCTCTTGACAAAAAAATGTGTAATATGGATAGTTTTTAACCAAAATTTGGATATCTTATAATCAAAATTGTGTAATTTAGGTAGTTATTTAACCAAAATTTGAATAGAAATTTGGTAATAGAGATCAAAAAGGGATTGAATGAGCTTAAATTGAAGAATTAAATTTTATTATTTGTTTTAGTATTATTTTATTAGTTAAGAAATATTTGTTTGACTAGAAGTATTAATTATAGTTTAACTAGAAAATTGTTATTGAGTTTTAGTAGAATAGGAGTTTGAGAGTTTGATTATGAAACTCTTTTAGAATTTTAGTTGGAGAATCGTTTTTATTTTGGAAGGAAATTTGGCCTATAAATAATGGTGTAATCCCAACTATTTTAATTAGAGGGAGAGCAATATAATAAAAAGTGACTCTCCGTGGAGAATTTATGTGTTTCTTTACTGATTCCTTGCGAGGATGAGGTAAACCCCTTACATCCCCTCTTATTTCTTCTTCTTTTTCTATTATGTGATTTCTAGTCCTACATCAGTTTGGTATCAAAGCCCAACTTCGATCATTTTTTATTGTGGTTGTGTTTCTTGAGATCCGTCTGTTATCCTTAAGTTTTAGTTCCTTTCCAAAAAATTTAGCAGAACCAAGTTCAACAAAAAAAAAATAGCCACTGCACACTACACAAAACCCATAACACAAAAATTAGTACCCAAATCTATGAAATTACACAAACACCCCATGCCTTTTAAAATTATATATCTGACCCCTTAGAGTTTTTAAAATTACACTTTTGGCCCCAAAAGCTTATGAAGTTATATTTTGGTCCCAAAAATTTTTGAAATTATATTTTTGCCCCTAAGTTTTAGAAATTATAGTTTAGCCCCAGAGTTTTCTGAAATTACAGATTGACCTCAGAATTTTCAACAACAAAAAAAAGGTTCTTAAAATTCTCTTCCAATCAATATAGTTTCCAATGTCAAATTAAATGCTAAAGTGGAGGCTTTATCCCAAGCACAATTTGATTCACAAAAGGCTATGAATGCTAGACTAGATACAACTTAAGCATCCATCGATTCACTGAGAGAACTTGTACTCGTTATAGTTTATGAAACCAAAACAAGTAAAAGTTTTAACTTTGTCTCTTCAACTGTCAATCAAAAAGTGGTTGAACACAACCCTCTAGTTATACCACAAGTTCCACCACTACAAGTTACAATCTGATTGAATGATAATCAACTGAAGTTATTTAATGTTGATAAGCCCAAAAGTTCTACTTCTACTCATCCTACAACAATTATTTTGACAAGCCGATTGCAAAGGGTGTTCCTACGAATGAAAAACAAGTTTCAAGCGTAAGTTCTTTAGATGGGGGTTGCTACTTTTTCACCAACATCCTCACCGTCCTTTTTTTTTGGAACAAAGTGTGAAGGTTATGAAGATTCGAGATATAGATTTCTCCCATTATGATATCCTATATTATGTCATTGAAGGGAAAATCTTGCTTCTATGCGATCAGGTTTAAAGATGTGTTTCACCGTTTGATGTCAATTTGTTTGGAGTATTCTTGCTACAACAATTCTTCAGAGAAGAGTTTTTTTCAGTTGGGGAGAATTGATAGAGATTAAAAAGGGATTGGATGAGTTTAAATTGAAGAATTTAATTTAATTATTTGTTTTAGTATTATTTTATTAGTTAGAAAATATTTGTTTGACTAGAGTATTAATTAGAGTTTAACTAAAAAATTATTATTAAGTTTTAGTAGGATAGGAATTTGAGAGTTTGATTATAAAATTCTTTTAGAATTTTAATTGGAGAATTGTTTTTATTTTAGTAGGAAACTTGGCCTATAAATAATGATAAGGTAAATCCTTTACANTGATGAGTTTAAATTGAAGAATTTAATTTAATTATTTGTTTTAGTATTATTTTATTAGTTAGGAAATATTTGTTTGACTAGAGTATTAATTAGAGTTTAACTAGAAAATTATTATTAAGTTTTAGTAGGATAGGAATTTGAGAGTTTGATTATAAAATTCTTTTAGAATTTTAATTGGAGAATAGTTTTTATTTTAGTAGGAAACTTGGCCTATAAATAATGATAAGGTAAATCCTTTACACCCCTTCTTATTTCTTTTTCTCTTTCTATTCTGTGATTTTTAGTCCTTCTTATCCTACATCATTTGGTCAAGTGTTATTCAAATTTTTTTTGTCTATATTTAAGTATTATTTGACAAGTTTATGATAAAAAAATCGTTAGCAATTTGAACCCATTTTACTTGAGAGATTATATAGAAATATATTTACTACTTTAGAGATCAAAATAATATAATTGAAATATTAGGGATGAAAATAAAATAAATTATATTGTAAGAACTTCCAATACAATTAATATTTTTTTTTATTATAGACTATTAGATTATTTTATTTTTATTACGAACCGTTGAGATAATTGGAACAAAATTGGGAGATGCTCGTACACCCGATTGCGCCCTTCCCTACGTACAACACCCGAGCCCTAAATTCACCTAAAGAGTCAGACGATTGAAGCTGAAGCTGCTTCTTCCTGAACAAGTCCCGACAGGTTTGCCTCTTTTCTTCTTCTTCTCTGTTCTGTGTTTTGTTTCTCTTCTTCTTCTTCTTCTTCTTCTTCTCTATTTCTCTTCTTCTTCTTTTAATTCTTCTTCCTCTTCTTCTTTGACAAAAGCCCTGCTCATCTGGTGCTGTTTCTGCCTTCTTCTTCTGATGATTCTTCTTCTNCCCGACAGGTTTGCCTCTTTTCTTCTTCTTCTCTGTTCTGTGTTTTGTTTCTCTTCTTCTTCTTCTTCTTCTCTATTTCTCTTCTTCTTCTTTTAATTCTTCTTCTTTGACAAAAAGCCCTGCTCATCTGGTGCTGTTTCTGCCTTCTTCTTCTGATGATTCTTCTTCTTTTGGTTCTGCCTCCTTTCTCTTTCTTCTCCTCTTTTGCTTCTGCTTCTCTTTTTCTGCTTCTTCTTCTCTTCTTCTAATTCTGCTTCAGTGCTACTGCTTAATGCTGATTCTGCTTCTAATTTTCTATATTGCTTTTGTTTCTGCTTATTTTGTTTTTGTTTGTTTTTTTTGCTAATTTTGATTCTGATGGGATTTTTCTCTATTGATTCTGTTTCTGTTTCTGTACTGATTAATGCTGATTCTGCTTCTAATTTTATGTCCTGCTTAATGTTGATGCTACTTAATGCTAATTCTTGCTTAATGTTGTTGCTGCTTAATGCTAATTCTACTTCTAATTTTTTGTACTGCATCTAATTTTATGCTGATTTTCTGTATTGCTTAATGCTGATCTTGCTGCTTATTTCTGCTGATTCTGTTTTTGCTTCTGCCCTTTTGCTGATAATGCTGATTTTTTTGCTGATTTTTCTTGTAGTAGTGTGATACTTACTTGTTGTTAAAAGTAATTAGAACTTAGATATTTAGAAATAATCAAACTAAAATATTTGTTTTTTTTTACTGTTTGCTTCACTTCAATGAAGTGTTTTGCTTCGCTTCTCGCCTGGGCTTTAGGAGCCTTGGTCGCTTTGGTTCGCTTTTCGCTTTAAATATCACTGTGTAGATGAACATCGACAGTTCAGTAAGTTCTGTGTCAGATAGAGACTTGTGCATTCGTTGTGTATACATATTAGTGTTGGTTTGTTTCTATGCATAGGATTGGGAGTGTACATGTTCTTCGTGTTTTATTTTGATAAATGATAGAGATATACTGGGAGAACATTGGCAGTGGGAAATCTTCATCCAACGTCTCTCTTTTTATAGTTATTCAGAGATAATCCAACATGAAATGCTTCTGGACTGTATATTCTTCGTGATGAGACTATCAGCTGTTACAAATCCTCTGAATTTCTCATTTATCATCTTTATTGGCTCCCAAAAAGTGAATTAGTTATCTGGGGAACTTGGATATTTTTTTGATATGCATAGTAACCTATCTGTTAAAAGTATGGGACGACATCTGCCCAAAAATTTGATTGAGCTTGCTATTTTTCTTTGGATTATTGACTTGTGATTTGATATTTGCCTGCTTTTTAGGCTTTTAATTTCTTAGTAGCAACTAGTTTAACACAAGTCTGACTGAATGCAGCTTGTCAAATTTGGAAGCCAAAAGCTTGTTGCAGAAAGTATGGCTAAGCACCATCCGGATTTGATTATGTGCAGAAAACAGCCTGGAATTGCCATTGGCCGGCTTTGTGAGAAAGATGACGGGAAGTGTGTAGTCTGTGACTCGTATGTGCGTCCCTGTACCCTTGTGCGAGTTTGCGATGAATGCAACTATGGTTCATTCCAAGGTCGTTGTGTCATCTGTGGAGGAGTGGGAATTTCTGATGCCTACTACTGCAAAGAGTGTACACAGCAGGAGAAAGATAGGGATGGGTGCCCCAAAATTGTCAATTTGGGGAGTGCAAAAACAGACCTGTTCTACGAACGAAAAAAATATGGTTTTAAGAAAAGATGATGCATGTTGTACATTTATTGATACTTCCATTTGCCATTATGTACCAATCTTATATGAATATCAATGATTGAATATGTTGGCAGGAAGTTTAGGTCCTATCTGAATGTAAACCTAATGGATGTAGACTTAATGAGATTTCTCTTCCTGTCTTTTGTTGGTGATATTTGTTTGACGTTTTCAAGTAGTATATATAAATACTTAAGTTTCTGTGAATGATTATTCAGTACTAAGTTCTGTTGGTGTTTAGTCTTGGCAATAATGTTGCATCTTTGTAACTATTATTCTTACTATTGGCTTTCTTGGTGTAAAATGTATATTTTAGTCCTTTGTGAACTAGGGGGTTTTATAATGACATAATTTGATGGTAGATGGTTACTTTCTTCATGTTGCTTTTGTCCTGAAAGCATGTGCATATTGTGTTCTGCTTATCATGTATAACATCCTTGCTGTTTGTTTCCTCTTATCAAAGACCTGTATCATCAGTAATTAGTGTTTGTTTTGAATGATGTATTCTGTGAATGCATTGAGCCAGTGGGGCAAGAACTTGACATTGTTGGGCTAGATTGACTTAAAGTTACTCAAAACTCTCCTGTGAGAAGTCTTTTTCTCTCTTTTTGTGCATGTTACTGAGTCAACATGATTTGTCAACTGATGGTATGATGGTGATACATTGTTGTGGCATGCCTGCTTTCAGCCAATTGGTATGGTTTCCTCCAAAATTATTAAAGACAGTAAAGGTCTAAATTAGAAAGTGCTAAGCTTTTTTTCTTTTTTTAGTGCAGGGAAAAAAAAAAGTAGCTAGGATCCTACCTACTGCATTTGTCAAAATCCGAAAAGCTGTACGGATGACAAAAAAAAGTTGCTTTCTTGTGTTGCTTTCTTGTGTGCGTGCACCCCAGGTTCCCCAAACTTGACTCGGTTAAATACTATACTTGCCATGTAGTGATTGCACTGTTATGGTGTCTATTGCTGGGCTAAACTCAATCTTTGATGGAACAAAGAAATCCCATTTGATGTGTTTTGACTTTTGAACAGAAACACCATTGCATTTGTGCTAGCCTTAATGATACACGAAAATGTATATGCAAGTATTTGAACTGAAAAATTAAGTGNAATTTGATGTGTTTTGACTTTTGAACAGAAACACCATTGCATTTGTGGTAGCCTTAATGATACACGAAAATGTATATGCAAGTATTTGAACTGAAAAATTAAGTGATGAAGCAACCAGTAGCAAACACCAATGACAATGTTTCCGCTGCCTGTTCCAACCCGGTTTGTGCGCCAACCAGGGAAAGGAGGAGAGATCAAGTCATTATCTTCCTGCGGAAGAAGAAAGTGATTGAGATCAGGTCATTATCTTCCTGCGGAAGAAGACAGTGATTCAGACTGAATCGCATAATTTACAGCCTATTAGTACGATGAATCACATTATCATAATGTTTTCTTATCTTTTAGTTTATATCCTCAAAATCAAATTCCCCCAAAAGGAAGCATTATTAAGTGCCCAAAGTTAAATGAAAGGGATGTAACCTATTAATCCACGTAGAGTCAGTGAGTGTGTTTGGATAATCGGTAAGGATAAAAATCGATTGAATTTTTTGTATCTTAATCCATCCCATCCAAATCCACTCAAGACACTTAATTAGATGGATTATGTATGCTATCTAATCCAAACTATTGTTTGACAAGGAACAATTGAATTGAATAGACTCCACCCTGACATTTGTACATATTTANTTAGAGTCGGTGAGTGTGTTTGGATAATCGGTAAGGATAAAAATGGATTGAATTTTTTGTATCTTAATCCATCCCATCCAAATCCACTCAGACACTTAATTAGATGGATTATGTATGCTATCTAATCCAAACTATTGTTTGACAAGGAACAATTGAATTGAATAGACTCCACCCTGACATTTGTACATATTTACCATTCTATCCATCGACATATCCAATTCAAGAAAAATAATACATATCACAAATAACCTCGTGAAGGTTGTCTTCTTTGTGCTGCATTTGTGAAAAACATTCAGTAAAATACCAACACAAGAAAACGGATAAAAAAAAAAAGAAAAAATACCAAATAAATTTTTTTACCCAAAAATGTTTCTAGGGTTTATCCAGAAATAGTTTGGTTTTGGTGAGATATGTTGGGCTCATTTGGTTCATCTTCCCATGAGGAAGAAGAAGATCCATCACCACCAGATGTGTGGTAGCACTTCCATCATCACCAGATTCAATAACGGAGCTTCACATGAAGCTCTTGTTCTTTCATCGTACTTATGACTGAACCAAATAACCCCATTCATTAGATTTAGTCGCTCACTAATCAAGCAATCTTGGAAGCCATTGAAGGTAAACAAGCGATCCACATTCTCAATTTCGATATCATGCATGGTGTACAATGGCCTCCATTAACGCAGGCCATCGTCGAGTGTTTCCTGTTACCAACGCTCCGATTTGGACATCCTCCGGCGAACTGGTGACCGACTTGCAATACAAAATTTCTAAAATATTTTTTGTCAACAATACAAAATCATCTTCTTTGTTGGTCTTCTAAAATCAAAAAAAATAACCGAAGGATTTTTCAACATCACCACAGTAAGATCGACAGTGGTGCCGATCGTTTCTTGAGGCAGAGCTCAAGTCAGTCTCTCCATGAAATCACCGATGAAGATGTTGACGAATCGAAAGAAAGCTCTCAAGTTTTGACGTGTTTTCTGTTGATGATTCTTTAGGGGAAGTTTGTTTATTTTCTCTAACCATGGTGGAGTTGCAGGATGGAGAGAGAGAGGGGGGAGGGGGGGAGAGTGGTTAGAGTTTTGCACAAAACCCAGAGGTAAAAACAAGAAAAAGATAGGGGCAGAATGGAAATTGCAAAACTAAATAGAATTTTAACCCACCACTAGGTGGGTTATAAATAACCCATGTAGTCAAGTTTAAAAGTAGATTGCGGGTCAAGAGTTTATCCCATCGGGCTGTCCAACTTTCAAATTGACTTCCCAAACATGATATAACTGGGCTCCATGAATTTTTTATCTCATCCTACATGTGATAACCCCCATCAACCCACAATCCAAACACCCCCAGTTATACCTATGCTTACATATGTCTGAAATGGCAAACATGGGAGAATAACACAACACAACTACATAATCTTCAAACATGAAAGTTGCCACTTGATAATGTGCACGCAATGTCAAATTTGCGATTTTCATTGTTGTTGTTTTATTTAAGNAATCCCATCGGGCTGTCCAACTTTCAAATTGACTTCCCAAACATGATATAACTGTGCTCCATGAATTTTTTATCTCATCCTACATGTGATAACCCCCATCAACCCACAATCCAAACACCCCCAGTTATACTTATGCTTACATATGTCTGAAATGGCAAGCATGGGAGAATAACACAACACAAGTACATAATCTTCAAACATGAAAGTTGCCACATGATAATGTGCACGCAATGTCAAATTTGCGATTTTCATTGTTGTTGTTTTATTTAAGCACGGCTTAGTCCTCGCAGTATTCCGCAAGACCTCACTTTTTTTTCCTAGTCACTATTTGCTCAAAATGTGTCGCGCAAATAACCGTGCAGCCATTTTTGTGTAAATAATATTAAAAATGATGTTTGTATTAAAATCACATATTAACGGGATAATTGATACTTTGTACATTTGGACGGAATAGATACAACATAAATAGTTGGGCAAATATCACTTACACTCCCTGACATTTGATTTTATTACACGGACACTCTCTCACTTTTTAAAAACAACACCGACCTCTCTTGACATTTATGACTTGTAACAGACACATCCCCTTCCAACTAATAGACATTAAAATTGTTAATAGTCAAATCTGATGTCATCAATAATAATTTTTAAAATANTGTGTAAATAATATTAAAAATGATGTTTATATTAAAATCACATAATAACGGGATAATTGATACTTTGTACATTTGGACAGAATAGATACAACATAAATAGTTGGGTAAATATCACTTACACTCCCTGACATTTGATTTTATTACACGGACTCTCTCTCACTTTTTAAAAACAACACCGACCTCTCTTGACATTTATGACTTGTAACAGACACATCCCCTTCCAACTAACAGACATTAAAATTGTTAATAGTCAAATCTGATGTCATCAATAATAATTTTTAAAATATCAAAAATACCCTCTAAAATTAAGTTTGAGAATTTAAATATATATTTTTCTTACACTAGAAATTTCTCCCTCATTTATTTCAACACTTAAATTTTAATTTCCTAATTGTACTAATAACTACCTACTCAAAAAAAATTAAACTAATAATCCAAACCCACCAATTCTCTTAATAATTATGATTTAAAAAATAATTAAGTTACTCAATATAATAAATTTGTATTAACTAAGCTTACCTTAACACATACTGAAATCAAATTAATCTATTATTTCCATATTATGACAACACTAATGAAGCAATTAAGTAGCTAATTTTTCCCCTATTAAGACACCATCAACTAAAGTAATTTTATTTTTAAGTTAAGACAACATGAATTAAGCCAATCATCTGGCAGCATCACCCACTGCCATAGGCTTCCAGAACCGTTACCACCCACCAAGCTCCTTAACCACCTATTTCTATAGAGAGAGAGNACTGAAATCAAATTAATCTATTATTTCCATATTATGACAACACTAATGAAGCAATTAATTAGCTAATTTTTCCCCTATTAAGACACCATCAACTAAAGTAATTTTATTTTTAAGTTAAGACAACATGAATTAAGCCAATCATCTGGCAGCATCACCCACTGCCATAGGCTTCCAGAACCGTTACCACCCACCAAGCTCCTTAACCACCTATTTCTATAGAGAGAGAGAGAGAGAGAGATGACATGGCGACCGTGAATGACACCACTGCCTCCACCATCCAAAAGCCATCGTTGACACCATTAGTGCCACCATCCAAAACCCAACAACTCCACCACACAAAACCAACCATCAANCAACCACCTATTTCTATAGAGAGAGAGAGAGAGAGATGACATGGCGACCGTGAATGACACCACTGCCTCCACCATCCAAAAGCCATCGTCGACACCATTAGTGCCACCATCCAAAACCCAACAACTCCACCACACAAAACCAACCATCAACACCACAACCTCCATCATCCAAAACTCACCACCAAAATTTGAACCATAAAAAAATTAATCATAAAAATCAACCATAAATTTGATC